AATTCATTAACTATGCATACATACTACCAGCATAAGTTCACTACCACATTTATAAGCATGACATAGGAAACTGAGCATCAAAGTAATCTAGCCATACATAAAGCAAATAACCCAAATTCTGAAAAACCAATATATAATTCAGTGTTGATATAATGTATTACTAAATCAATAAGACAATGTTGATATATATGTACATATATATATATATATATATATATATATATATATATATATAAAATTTCTTCATTGGTTATTTCAAGTTCTTTTCAACCTTTTAAATCAAGCCAGAATAGAAGCACCAGGTGAGTTGACTCGAGTCAACTCAAAAAACGTGAAAAAGATTTTTTTTTCATAAAGAAAAAAATAAGAAGAGGAATTTCAATTGTTGTATTCATGTGTAGGCATGAAATTTTTTCCAGAAATTGAAACTTTTTAATATTTCTTCATTCTTGAATGACAGAGAACAAAAAATAATATAATAACCAAAACGAGGATTTTAGAACATTGTATACAAAAACAAAAGAAAATGAGTGAGAACAGATGAAAATAAATTGGAGCCAACCTGATTATTCAACAGTGTTACGTTAAGGATTCGGTGATCAGTTTCAACTTTCAAGAAAAGAATGAATGACACAAGGACTGAGATTGCAAATAGCAATGTAGAATCTACTGATATGAGAGTTTCTGAAGCTACTATAATGGGTGAGAGAGAGATTTTAAGGTACAAAATAGAGATATCAGGAAAAAAAAAAACAGGTGAGTCATTTAAATTTACCTCGAAAAGGGTTCAGTCCAATCAGCAATAAATGCCTTTTCGTTTTGCCTCTTTTGAAATTTTAATGATACGATGTGTTTTTTTTTTAGATTTTTATTTTATGATAAGAAACAAAAAAAACCGTCCTTCTGGAGTTCCTGATATACACAGAGTTGACCGTGTGTTTAGGGAGTCAACAAATTTGACCCAGAGATGACCTTTTATTTCCTATTTATTTCAAGGGAAATCCTAATTTTGTTTGAATGGAAGGTAATCTTAATAAATTAAAACCAAATCTCTAATTTGATTTATGATTGTGTTTTAAAAATTGGGAAGATTCTGATATGATAATATTTCCTGATTTGTAATTTTTGTCATTATTATCCGATAAGCGGTTATAAAAATTATATATCTCTTGGTAGTTAATCATTATGATAATGAAAGCAATAAAAAGGAAAAAAAATTAAAACATTATTATTTTAATAAAAAATTCCGAAAATATTAATATTTTGAATCATTTTACAAAAACACTCTCCCTCAAATAAAGCAAGTTTGTTCCCTCAAAATCGCCCAAAAAAGAAGAGACATGGTTGGCCTTTATAAATCTCATTTTTTTTCACTTTTCATGTGACAATCTAATACATTATCTATATATTAATTTTAATCATCTGAGGTAGAAATAGTATTATATAAATATCAATGCAATGCAAAATAGATTGTTTCAAAACAGAAAAAGCCGGTGGTCCTTACTTTTAGAACAACATGAAAACGTTATTAAAAAAAAAAAGAGGTTATTCAAAACAAAAACAAAAAACAACAATGTGAAAACTGAAAAGTCCACTAAGATAACCTATCAAATGTTGTTAAGAACGAGATCTTACCTAAAATTGGAAAGAAGTAAAAAGATCAAATTGCAAGATCGACATGGACAGTAAAATCCTAACTGTATATATAAAATATTAAAATTACATTAATATATAAAATCATATTATATTATATATATATATGTTAACAATTAATCCAAATTAATTCAAATATATACAATAACCATTATTCCAAATCATCATTTAATTAAAAATAGGCTAAAATATAAGTTACTCCCTTGAACTTTGATCATGTTTTAAATTACCCTATTGTACTTTTAATTGTTTCAATTAACCTCCTATACTTTATAATTGTTTCAAATCAACAATTCTGTTAATTTTTACAAACTCTGTTAAACCTCTTCATATGTCCTATGCCCCAAATCTAAAAAATTTCTTCTCTCTTTTCTTCTATGTTCTCCCATCTAGTAGTTGAATAACGAGTTAAAGACTATGCACAAGAAAACAACATAGTATTCTGAAATTAATTTAGTCGACTAGTGATGAATTCAGATCCAGTTTTTGCATTTTTCCTAACCACGGCATTCGTGTCAGCCAAGAGTGAAGATTAAGGACTTACTGTTTAGAAAATTAACAAGCGGGGAGGAACAACATCTGGATGTTTCTCAATAGATTATTTCATTGATTAGACCTAGGTTCATTGTCCATAAGAATCTAGTTTATGTTGGTGTCAGTGACTCAGTGACCATAGACTGAAAAGCAAAATCATGCCCTCTCATTTATTCCCCCCCTTCTCCATTCTGCATTATTATTTGAAGTTTCAGAACAATTATTTGTTCTTGTTACAGCCACGTGAAAGAGAGTTTGAATAGTATTTTAAATTTGAACAATCATTTTTAAGTTTTAGGAGCCATAAGTTGTTATAGATCCACATGAAAGGGAGTTTGTATCAGAGAAGATTAAAATAGAAGAAAAGAGAGAGACGAAATTTTTTAAATTTGGGACTTAGGGCAGGTGAGAAAATTTAACAGAGTTTGTAAATTTTTTAACAGAATTGTTGAATTGAAACAATTATAAAGTATAGAAGGTTAATTGAAACAATTAAAAGTACAAAGAGATAATTGGAAACATGGTCAAAGTTCAAAGGGGTAACTCATATTTTAGCCTTAAAAATATGAAATTATAAAGAATAGTTTAATAATTATTATTTTATTAATTATACAAAAAAAGAATTCTGCTAATTCCAATAAAAGAAAAATAATGAGATTGAAAGTCAAAATTTGTATTGGAATATTTTAAAAACAAAAGATAAGATTGAACAATGTTGTGTAGGTGTATGGTGGTCTGTTCGCATTCTTGTCTGAAGCTACACGTTTTCCTCTATATTCAAAAATGATCATACGCGTCTTCCTCTCTGCTTCAACTCTACTGTGTATCTGTTCTCTCTTTCCCTTAAAAAAAAATCAACTTTATCTCTTCAAAGTTGATGATGACCTCTGTTATCGATGTGAAAAAAAAAATATAGTAAATTTAAGATTCTTCCTCTCTGTTCAAAAATTTTTCTCTCTTTGTGGATCTGAAACTACAAGCATTTCAATATGCTAATTAACTATAAAACTAATCTTTTAATTATAAGCCGGCAAAAAAAAAAAAAGTTATGTTAGCTTAGTGAGGTTAAGTTGCTACAAAAGCAATTCTTTGTCGTTTTGCTCAGCCAAACAAAGTTATGTTACCACCAAACTTCAAACGATGAAAACAATAATTTGGAACCCTATTGTTAAGAAGAAAAAAAAAAAAAGGCAGGAAACGATATAAACAAATTCATTTACTCATTAGTCTTATCTTATTGAACATTGACTCAACTAGTAACAATAGCATTGCATAATTATAACTGATATAGAGAAAGAAAGAAAGGAAAAAGAACCTTAATTTGGACAAAGCAAGAACGAGGGCGGCGCTGGAATAGAGAGATGATACTCAAAGGGGAGTCTCAGTCGGTGATAGTAGATGCGCTGACTCACTGAATCTCACCAACGAAACGATTAAACATTGAAAATTTAGAAACGCTGATTATATAATAAGTCCTCGAGGCTGAAGCAAAACCAAAACCAAAATCTCAATTTAAGGATTCCAAATTATATAAATAATATTCTGATAATATAATGGTATTTGATTACAATTTTAACGTCTGCTTTTAAAAAATAACAAAATCAATATTTGTTTATCCTAATTATTTTGAAAAACAAACCATTAAAAGCTTAATTTCCGGATTTACAAGATCTTGGCGAGAGAAGTCCGAATTCTAATAGGATTATTATACATTGATATGGGGAAAATTGTGATAATATATTTTTATATAATTGTTATGTCTACGAGGATGTTTTGACTTTTGAGTGATTAATATTAGGAATTAATTTGATTTATGAATAAAATCTTTTATTCAAAAAGATTTGAAAGGGAATGATTCAATTTTGAGATTCTTCTAATTTAAAATCTATATTTTCAATCAAAAAAAATTGTTGCATAAAGTTCGCTTAAATTTTATTAGATTTAAGTGAATCTGATTTTATTTTAACATGCTTATGTCAGGTATCTTAAATATGAGATTTGATATTTAAAGTAATTCAAATCTTTCTTTTTTTTATCACGAATTATAAGCATGATGATCCATATTTACATCAATTCAAATAAAAATCGAAAGACAACCAATTATAGTTAACTTTTTTTTAGTGACACAATAATATACAATTAATATGAAATTAATCTCTTAAAATAATAATAATTGCGAGAATATCAAGAAACGCAAAATCTTGACGAATCTCGTTGATGCGATTCGCAGCTGGTGCGACGAAAGCTCTTGAGGCTCTGAAAGAGAGGGTCATTGAGATCTCAATGGCGGCGGCGATGTCTACGGTGGCAATGCCATCAACAGCCTTCGTATGCCGCCTCGGTATTTTGGAAGATGGAACCCACGCTCACGTAGGGATCTCCGTGGGCAAAAAAATTGGTGTCGAACTTCACCGCTTCACACATTTCCAAATCCATATTATGCCAAACCGGGTCAGATTCATATTCCTTAAGTTTCAAAGTACTTCAGTTCGGACCAAAAATCATCTTCCGTTAACTAGAAGGATATTTCAATTTGTACAATGAAGTGAATGATTCTTGTCCCCTACTTAGGGGCCCAAGAGGCTATGTCCCATATAAATAGCAACCAATAATGACGCGGAAGGTATCAATCATATTCAAAATTATTTAGGCAAAGAAGGAACTCATTATAGAACTAAATTAGGAATAGAAAAACAAAAGCAGAAAAAAAAAATATTAAAAACAATTTATTCCACCATGGCTTACGATAATAATTGACAACATAAGTTTGCTTTGCTCAAATTCAGAAAAAATACAGTCTTGTAACTCCTCAAACGCAGATATTAGTAAAATTTGATCTTGGCCTGGACTCAGCTTAATAAGTAGAGAATAAGAAGCAATGGCATTTACAAACTGCATGCTACAGCAACTACAATTAGTGCCTCTATAAGGGTAGCATTTGTCAAGAACTTCACTCACATCATACCATGGTAACCAGCTATATCCAACAGTACTGCTTTAATTTGCTCAGGGGGTACATCCTGCCCTTCTTTGCATTGCTGGCAAGAAACATGAAATTACTAGAAGTCAAAAGCAAAACTTAAGACAGCAATACCAAGCCAATAATCAATGAGCTCAAAATTTAAACATCATAAAACAACCTGAGAGAAGCTTCATTAAGACCTTTTACCCGTCATTAAGCTGAGATTTACTCTTCTACAAATTTGGCAGAGCAATTTGTAGTTTTTAGACAGCAGTGTAGGAGGGACGATTTTCACTTACTCAGATAGTTCACAAAAGGGCACAAGCCTCCTGACTTTGTAAGGGTTGATTGTATGCAACCCTGCCCTTGTATTTTATGCAAAGAGGCTATTTTCCGGACTTAAACCCAAAGGATCAACCTTACCACTGCTCCAACCTTATTCCATCACTCAGATAGTTCACAAAGAACTTACGTAAATTTCATCTTATTAATTAAAACTGGACTCCAGATTCCTTTAAAGTATACATTTTGTTCTAGGAGTGAAAAGCCTTTTGAAATGAAAATAATCAATGGTTAAAATTTTATTAACCACGGAGTCATTGAATGAAAAAACATGGAACCCTTCACCCCTTATAACTGACAAGCCTCACGCATATAGTACATAATTCAGTTAAGCAGAGGGAGGGGAAGATAGTGGCTGAGACCAACAGTTTTCGTGGTTTGGATCACCATGCTTGTCATCTAATTAGGTTTCTGAAAGAGAATTGATAAGTAGTTCTCACAATCATATACGATAGTTTTGAGAAGTGGGATTGGGTTCCGAAACACGGAGGTGTCATGCCTATCTCTTAACAAACCATCTTGTTGCTACCAAAGCACTTGCCTTTCATTTCATCCTAGCCATGAAATTCTTCTCTCTCTCTCTCTCTCTCTCTATATATATATATATATATATATAAGATTCATCTCTATCATCAAATCCAGCTAACATACATCATTCATTATTACATTTGTCACATGACCAGGTACAAGAGTAAATTTTCAGTACATACTTCCCCAATAGAACTCTTGCGGCATTAAAAGTAAAAATGTTGGTGGAATAAATGCAATTAGGTGAGTGATGTATTTCTAATTTTAGTAGGTATAGCACTAAGTCCTCAGTCCTACAGAAGTATTGAAAATTTATCTCAGGTGCAGGCATCCGGTATCAATGTTGGAAGAGTGATTGATTGTATAATGTGGTATTGCCCAAATTAAAAACAATGGAAAGCATTATATAATAATAAAAAGCAAGGAAAATAAATAAGGGAAAATGGTGATATAAAACATGGCACAAGAAAATAACTATATACCTCAGCTCTGAAAACATCTAACGCGAAACCATTGAAACAGCTGATAACAGCTTGCTGGACGTCCAATCCGAGGTTATCCAATGCCCTCGTGGTGGAAAGTAAAAGACCTGGTCTGCGGGCACAAAACATATGGATATTGACAGCTCTTCCTTCCCTTACCTTAACCTCCACCTATAAATTTCAGAAAAACTCAAGCTGAGTCAAATCAATTTCCTAAAGTACCCTGCAATGACAGCTCTCCCTTCTGTTATCTTAACCTCCGCCTATAAATTTCAGAAAAACTCAAGTTGAGTCAAAACAATATCCTAAATTACCCTGCAATTAAATCTCTATGAGAAAAAATATCTCCTGAATCCAGTTGTTGATCATTATTAGTTTGCATTAATACACCTTTGGGGTCAACAGCATCACAAGATTCTAACTTTTAGGGATTCACATCAGTTATATGTCACGTGATGTAACTATGTCTGCACCAATACTTGACATATGACTCGCATCTCTGCGATGATTACACACAATATACGCAGCCAAATGCATTAACATCAGATTCCTAGTGAATGTCCAAAAAGCCAAAGCCATAAAAACACTGACAAAAAGAAACCAAGATGATGATGAAAAACAATGAAATAATGGTACTAATACCAGATTTAGAGGTGCCAATGTTTATAAGGTACATATTCATATGCTAAACCAAAGAACTTTTATTACAGGTCATACAGTATGTCTTAGAGGTGATTGGCACTTGTCCTGTTCATAAAACAGAGAAAACATGGGACCTCATTATTTGTGGTAGGGCACATTAAGCAACTCATGGAATTTTGTTTAAGCTTCCAAAATGTAATATGCAGTACATTAGCAAAGAGTAATTTGTGTAATTTCCATACTGGTTCTACAATAAATGTTGTAAACAGTCCATATGAACGAAATATGCAGACTCTGAAGTTCTATATTTATAGCAGGTAGGGACACTAATTCATGCAAGAAATACAGAAAAAAAAGGCGATATTCATTCAAATTTAGTGCTCTATAAAAGGAGATATTCATTCAAATTTAGTGCCCTATATCATCACCAAATTTCCATCCATCATATATGTACACTTGTTGGCTAAAGAGCAAAATAAAGCAGTACCAATTGTGACAATTTAACATGGTCTTGCAAGCAACAAGCTATAAACGACTAGCTGTCAGGATAGGCGGATCCATTTAGTTTGCATGTTAGAAAAAATCTGAATCCACCATGGGTTGCAGGCGAAATGGTTTAGCCCTCGTAAATGGGGACCGGGGGAGAGAGAGAGAGAGAATAAAAGTCATAAAATAATTCAGACACTTAACAAGCCAACAAATAAGTTGTCAAAGATATAAACAACTCAAAGTAATATGGAAAATTTTCCAGGTTTGACACATCAACTGATGGCAGAATAACAATTGTTTGCACAAAGATGAACAAATACCTTCGCTGATTGGTTTTTAGGGCTTTGCGCAGAGCTAGGACATAGTTCTTCCTTCACCCGACATGGAAGGGTTAATGGAGTGGGTGTCATAGGGTGAAAGCTTGTGGAAGGTGGCAGCGATGAGCCAGGTGGGGTCGATTCTAGCTCATTATGAAGATCATTAATTCGCTGTAGTAACTCCTTCAAGTAGTCAATTGCATCCCCAAGTATTGAAGCCCTATCCATCTATGAAAAAAATAAAAGAAGATTAGCTTGTATTATCCTCAACACATCAAGAGAGCAAATTGTTGATGTTAATAACCAACTCAATGGCAACAAACCAACACAGGTTAAATTTCAGATTCATAAAAACTGCCAATAACACCACATCAGATTCCTCAAACATGAATGAGTATATGTAATTTAACATTATAGGAAGAGCTAACATGATTAAAAAATTTCAGAGTTCGTGATTTTTCTATACAATCAATCACTCCACAAGGAATAAACAAATTCATGGAATTCGGAGTGAATCAAATCTCCCAAAGTAGGATTCGAACCTATGACTGGTCAGTTATTTTTACATATAATAAATAAATCCACAAGAAATCAACTAATTCAAAAATTCAAAGTGTATCAAATCTCCCGATGTAGGATTCGAACCTATGACCAGTTAGTTATGATTTTTCCATATAATTAATCACTTCTAAAGGAATCAACTCATAGAATTCGGAGAGAATCGAATCTCCCCAAGTAGGATTCGAACCAATGACCAGTCAGTTAAAAGTCGACCGCTTTACCCGTGAGCTACCGAGGAACCGGGAAATTCAACCTCATAGAGTTCAATTCCCGTTCTCGCCTCATGACAAATAGCAGCTCGAAGTTTCCTACGTAACTCGTGGAACTTCTCCGCATTGGCTCCATTCCATACCTCATTTCACAGGGTACCTCAAATTGGCTCTATTACATCATAACCATCCATATACTAATTCCAAACATTTAATATTTCAATAAAAATCACAAAGTAACATCACATGTTAACATTATAAGGGAAGGAGGGGTAGCATCAAACAAAGTTTTCATACCTTGCTAATCTTTGGCACAACAGACCTAAGCATGTACAACCTATCATTGAGTTTCTTCCTACGCCGCCTCTCAGCCATGAGATTCTTAGCTGGCATCCCCTTCTTCTTCCCCTTCTGGTCTCCAATAGTGACACCATTATTACTATTGTTATTGGCATTAAAATCGTTGCCCACATTACTCCCATTCTCGTCCAACTTTCCAATCTCGACAACCTCATCAGAGTCATAATTCAACCCTTCCTCAAGTTCCCCCTCTTCTGCTTTCTTCCCCTTCCCCTCCAAGTCCTCCAACCCCGTCCAACAACCCGCGAACCGGGTCGCCGAAACCTCCAACTCTCCCAACTTATCCACGGAGGAACCTTGCCGGAGCGCCGCCCGCTTTTGAAACAAAGTGGGTGGAGCAGCCGCCGGAGGAAGACCCTCAATAGACCTCAAAACATTGGCCTTGTCCGAAAAGAGTGCATTTGAAGAACCAGAACCATCAAAAGCTTGTTCTTGTTGTTGTTCTTCAACACCCATTGGGGCAAACCCGCAACTGAGTTCGACCCCACGAGTCACCGGAAACTCGTTATTCGAACTCAGCTCGAGGGTGCCCATTTGGGGCGAGAAACCCATCAAAACAGGGGAATTGGAAGCATGGTTCCCTTGAAAAGGAGCGAGGAAACCACTGTGGGAACCCAAGTCGAAGCCATTGTGAAAAGGGTTGATGCCATTAACACCGAAGAAAGAAGAGAAGCAAGACTTGGGCGGTGGTAAAAAGGGTTGTGAAGAATGTGTCTGTGATGATGGGTCGAGAGTGAAGGAGGAAGGTGCACAAGAAGGTGAATCCAAAGGTTGCTGAATCAGAAAACCATCATTTGGGTCTGAAGAGAAACCAATGTCTCTTGTGGTTTGGTGAAGCTCATGGTGATGTGGGTTCATATCTGAGTTCATGTACCAGTCACCATCCAGCATACCCATGCCGGTAATGTTATCATTTTTGGGGTCACCAACGTTGTTGTTGGTTCTTGTCCATGTTTCTATTGCTAAGTGTTCATCTTCCGGTTGGGGTTCCATCCAGGGAACGCTGTGAGGTACCATATCTCTATCCATTGCATGAAAGAATGGTTAGAGAGAGAGAGAGAGATTTTGAGTGTTTCGGTTAAAGAGAAAAAGTTGAAGAGCTTTAAGCTTTTTTTTGTTTTCTTCTCAGAGCATTTTTGTTATTGTTGTGTGTGAGAGAGAAGAAATGAGATGGAAGGGGTTGAACGTTATGTGATGATGGATCAAAAATGAGAGCAGTGCGAGTGGTGTGTGTTTGTGTGTGTGAGTGTAAGGTGTGGCAGTGCATTGTACTTTATCTATGTGTCTGCTAAGCTGTGTTTGGCTGCCGTTTTAACTTTTCAGTCATAATCTTGGGGATGCCCTTTATGGTTAAAGGTAATTACTAATTCCGTTTTAGTTATTTTAAGGTTTGATGTCAATTATAATGTAAGAAATAATTTTATTTCTTATTATATATAAAGGGTTTATCATCTATCATTTAACATGATCACAAAATTTTTTCTATACACAAAACATTTTGTGGGGCCCGCAGCAAAAAAAATAAAAAAATTTCGGCACGTAAAACGAATCTCTATAACATAACACAACCACTTTTCCTACAACATAACCCTTATAAAACCCATATATAAAAAGTGTATAAAATTTATATTTTTTCTTCTTCTTATTTTTGCATAATTTTATATAGGTTTCATATATTTTTATGTGTAAAATAATATTTTCCAATATGTAAAATATCAAGCCCATTCTTTGATTATTAAAATAATTATTTTTTTCTAAGTTTTTTTATAAACATTTTTTTTATTGATTCCATTAATTTAATTTTGGGTTTGAATTTTTACATTTGTTAAGATTCTATTATTCTTTATAAAATAATAAATGAGAGACTTTTTTTAAAAATCAGTAAAATTTAATTGTAGTCAAAAACTGGTCAACCTATTAATTTTGTTTATAGAAAAGAAATTATGTATGATTTATTTACTGTGGGGATTTAAATCTTGTTGATCGAGAGGCTCGTGTTTGTAAAAAGTATATATAAATATAGTCAAAATGCTTTCTTACAGAAATGGAATTCAGTTATGAGAGTAAATATTTAGTACAAATTAAGAAAAAGGTTTGTCATTTAATGCACATAATTTTATGTCATTTTAGTTGAAACGATTGTGTTTTGATATATATTTATTAAATTTTTACATTCTATCATGTTAAAACTTCCTCTTTCTCTCTACTCCAATTTTGTGGAAAATAGAGAATATAAAAGGGCCAAAAGGGGTTGATTCTTAAGTAAGATCTCTGTCAGACGTAGATGTTCGGACTCAAACAAAATTGCCTCACATATAGATAGATGGGGTATATCTTAAAAAAAAAAAAAAAATGTAAAAGGTCAAAAAATATATATATATATATATATATATATATATATATATATATATATATATATATTAAAACATAATCATTCTACTTAAAATGACACAAAAAGATGGCTTTTAAAATTTCCATAAACTAAAGACAATAAAAACAATTAACATTTTATGCAAAAATATTATTAATATTTATTTACATAAATATAATATATTTTTTTTTAAATTTTTCTACTATGAAAGATTTGGCTAGGCCACGTGAGAAGCATGTTTGTACAAAAACTTATGTGAAAAATGCTTTGTAAATAGGGTTCGTTTTTTCTGCAATCGATGTAGATAAATTATTTACATTAAGTCCAAAACGATATTGTTTTGAGGCTAAAATCAAAGTACTTTTGTAATTATAATTTATTTTAGGGTTATAATCGTCTTTCTAATTATAATTTTTTAATCTTTCAATCCAAAACAACGTTGTTTTAAAAATAAATATAGATAACTTATATACCTTTACGGTAAAAACATTAAACCCTGGTAAATAATTTGAAATTCAGTAGTGAAATATTTAATACTCATTCAAAAAATCTTTTATACTTATTGTTAACCTTTTGTGCAAGTAATAGACTTTTAAAAAACAATAAGTAAAAGTTTTGTGTGAAAATGGTCAAAATTTTAAATTATATTTACATAAACTAAAAAGTAAATTTTTACTATTAGATTTTAGTTTTAAATTTTTAAAAAATTAATATATTGAAAAAGGAATCACATATTCTTTTACATGTCTATAAATGACGACTTTATCTTTAATTCATGCGAAAAATATTAAACCCATAATATATTATAATATACGACAATCATTTATACATATAACGAAAACGAGACATCATAAAATACAAACCTAGTCAGATGGTTGTAAGTTACCTATCATAATTTCTAACAAATTAATTATATACATATCAGACAAAAATAAGAATAGGAATAAAACTAACTATTTTAGGTTTAGAGATTGTATTTTCTCATATTGTTGGATTGGAGATATGTATCTCCTACCATGGACACATGATGTAATGAGGCCCACAACCCATTAAAAAAAAGAAGAAAAAAAGTGGTGGTACAATTTTTTATGTGAAAAGAGCATGAAATAGTGATCTTATGTAAAATGAAAGAATTATTTCCCTTATTTTATTATTATGCTCTCGAAAGATATTATTCAAATTAACAATATAGGGTTCGTTTTTTCTGCAGTTACTTATAAGTTATCTGCAGTAAGCCCAATACGACGTCGTTTTGGGGCAGAAATTATGGTGTTTTTGTAATTTTAGTTTATTTCAGGATTATAATAGTCTTTATATTTATAATTTTTTAAGATTTCCATACTAAAAAGATGTCATTTTGAGAATAAATGCAGATAACTTATCTGCAGAAATATTTTTCCCAACAACATATTAGTACACAAACGATAACAATTACAATCTTTATAGTACACGAGATTGACTTTGCAAACATCTTCTGGATAAGCTATTTGGGCTTAGGCCCACTATCCATGCAACTTATTGACTAAGTGAAAAACTTTAATCCCTTGGGGGACTCTTGGAAACCATTATATATAAGAGGGGTCTTCACCCTCGTTCATCAAGCAACATGTATCAATCTTACCTCATACGTTATGCCTATAACTTTTATTGACTTAAGCATCAAAATATATTACAAATGCACCCTTTTTCTCTTCATGTTTCCTTTCGTAGTTTTTCATTCTTATTTCTTTCTTTTCTATCATCTTTCTTCTTCTTCTTTTCTCTTTTTTTTTTTAATTCTTTTTTTTGCTTTTCTTACCTACTTTCATTCTTCTCTTTGTGCTTGGCGCATCAAAGGTGGATGAGAACTCTTTCCATGACATAAGCATTCCCTTATGTATCATTCTATAGGATTCCTCTTGCCTTTTCCGTAATCCATAATCTTTCAAGTCTCAAATTTTATTAATTTTGAGTTTCACAACTTTCGAAGATCACCCCTTATAAGAGGATCATTTCTTTAAAAGCACACCATTAATCCTTATACTTTCATCTTATCCACTTTTTATCATTTTCATGCTATTATGCCATGAATTTATAAAAATAAGAGTAAATACCTTTTTTGGTCCCTAACAAAAAAAAACGGTCCCCACTTTAGTCCCTTACAAAAATAAATTAGTCAATTAGTCCCTAATAAATTCAAAGTGGACCCATTTAGTTGAAATCGTGGTCCCTCACAAATTCAAAAAAGACCCATATTAGTCCCTCAAAAGGACTAAAATGGGTCCACTTTGAATTTGTTAGGGACTAACTGACTAATTTATTTTTGTAAGGGACTAAAGTGGGGACCGTGTTTTTTGTTAGGGACCAAAGAAGGTGTTTACTCTAAAAATAAATACAATAGTATGCTATTCATTCTCATAAGCAAGTCCAACGAAATAGTGTAATGAATCATTTCAACCTAATGAATGTTATACTAATAGTTTTATATATTATATCCATAACACACCTGTCATGCAAGAGACCTTGAGCTTGAAAAGTGGATAGTGGAAGTGCATAGACTCATGACAATTAGAATTGAACTCATGACCATTTGGTCACAAACTAGAATACCATGTACAGCGTCAATTCAACACAAAAACATAAGTTGTTAAGTGAAGACTAAATTAATAGATTAGTATATCATACTCTTACGCAGCCCATCACACAAGAATGCACAAGCCCATTTTTTTTGTTTACCTTATTCCAACTTAGGTATGACGCCTTATCAGGCTTTACATGGAAAAAGGTATAGGACATATACTTTAGGTAGAGGTTGGGGAGAAGCAACTTATCGCTCCCGAACTAGTTTAGGATACTAAAAAAATGAATTCAGATGATTAGAGAGAAGTTGAAAAAACTCAGAGCCATCAGAAGAGCTATTATGATCCCAAGTATAAACCCCTTGAGTTTGATGAAAGGGAACATATCTTTGTGAGATTATCACCTGTGATTAGTGTAGAACAGGCTCTTAGAGTGAGAAAGCCAAGTCCCAGATTCATTGAACCCTACCAGATTCTTCATAGGGTAGGATCAATTGCATATCAGTTTACTTTAACTCCTTAGTTATTGAATCTTGACGATGTGTTTCATGTATCTCAACTCAAGAGGTATATCCAGGACCCTTCTCTTGTGGTTCTATAATGCCTCATCTCGAACCAGTTTGTTAACATGTCTTATGGTAATAAAAGCGCTGCGTACTTGAATAAAGTAGCGAAAGACTCATGTAAAGTATCACGATAGTCCTTGGTAACTACATGACTTAACATTTTTCCTTTATGTAAACTTTATGTATCTTTGCCATGCAAACTTAATATTCCTGGTATAGACTATACAGTCCCATAACTGTACATAATTAATTTGACAACCTGTGATCATAACTAATGATCAAATCACTATCCGAATATGATATCACGTACCATTCCGGATAGAGTCACACGAACAGCATAACAGTTGTAATCTGGACAACTAGGGATCAATCTCATTAATTATCTTGTACCTGAAATACAGAAAAGTCTTGTCCAAATACACAAACACTGAAATATGGCTCTATGCCATTTCAGATACATCTAACATGATACAAAAAGAAATGCATGTCTTCATAATTTACATACACAAATAGGCAAACATATGCCTCTCAAAA